AAAAAATGAATATAATCCATTTTTTTTAAGAAAGATGGGCATTAGATTGAGGCCTTGAGGGATTTGTCTGATGCAAAAAAACTTTTAACTATTCTCATCATCACCATATGAACTTTTAAAAGAAAATAAAAAAAAATTGAATTTTTTAATTCTTTTAAAGCCTCAAGTCTTAGATGTTCATCAAAACTTACTTACGAGAAATTTTAATGTTTTTTTTGATAGCCAATAAAGCTGAAATTCAGATGGTGTTGCCAGGATTTAAAGTTATCAAAGCTCTCTGATCGTCGTGAATTGGTGTCCTAGGCATAGTAGGCCTCCTTGAGGCTTATCGTCAATATAGGTTGAAATTCAAGATCTTTGTGAAGATTTGTTAGCGTCTTTTGATCATGTCCACCGAGACGTAAATTCTGTTGCGGATGGTCTCACAAAATGTGGTGCAAGTTTGGAGGTGCTGAATATTTGATTGTATGTTTAAATATCTTGTATTCTGCTATCTTTTTAATAAAATATAGTAAGTTTGTCAAAAAAAATTTAATTTTGTAAAAAAAAATTTAAATTGTTCCCTGGTTCAAGAAACTGTGTTCAAAGTTTGGGATAAATTTTTTTTCAAATTTTGTTCCACCCCCCAAATTGTCAGCTCTTAGGATTGGCAATGGACCAGGAGTAGCCCTTAAAAACCAGGCCCTGCATTTTTTCTTTTTCTTTTTTTTTACCTATTTTTCTTTTTTCTTGAGGTTGGAATCCATCCAACCCAGACAGGGCCAAAGCTGGACATGATGCCGGGCTTGGGAAGAACCTAAAGGGGCCCAGTTCTGCCCTACAGGGACCCGGGCCCAGTTCGGACCACGGCTTGCCCAGCCCTGGCCCATTGCCACACTAAGTGCAAAAGGTAATTGATCTTATTGTATGTAATCCCTTGAAAGATTACAAGAAGCACCAAAAATAGGAAAGCCAGGCAAGCTCATACAAGGATAACACATCAGTTAATGTAAGCATTTTGCGCTATACATTTATAAAATCATTCCACCACCTGGATCTCCGACTTTGTAAAATCAAAAACAGGAACTCTTCTTACAGTCAAAGCACTGTTAATCATAACATTATCAACCAGGAATAACATAACATATAAGGATTAGTATAAACTATAGGGAAAACAAGGAGAAATCCAACCATACTCTCATTTAAGTCCCAAGTACCCATGGAGTCTAAAACTTGTGATGTTCGAGCTCATTTCCACCTTAAATACACTACAAGGGTTCCTAAGTCCATAATCGCAGTGGCTAACTACAAGGCTCTCTGCCAAAGTGGGAGAACAAGTGCAATTGCTGTGCAAAATTATAAGTGTACAAGCAATTTACGCAAGAAATAATTATAGACTTGAACAACGCCTAATGACCAAAAAGTTCAGATTAGCCAAAATGTATCGAGATGTGACACTTTTGATCGATACGAGTATTTGGCATGGAAAGTAGATAACGGTGCTCTATCGGTCGTTTGCGTCTTCTTCAGTTCCAGCAGGAGGCAAACCAAGTGTGCGCAAGTTCCTGTCCTGTGTACCCACGGCCAAGTAGTTTGCTTCTGGGCCAAATTTGGCAATCACAGAGAGCATATCCCACTTTAAAATTCCTCAGAGTGCAGTGTTGCTCTGGTTCTTTTCACAATGGCCATGCCAATTACAAAATCAAAATATGCTTGCAAATGTGTGTGTGAGAGAGAGTAAGAGACATTGGTCCGGAGGCATCAACCCATTTTGCATGACTGGAGTATTTCATGCAAACCAAGAGAACTAATCTAAATGAGAGAAAGAGAGAAGCAATGCCAAGTCCAACAGACAAATACATGTGCCAGCATGAGAGAGATAAGAGAGAGAGGGCAATGCCAGTCCAGCAAAACGCATGTTCAAGCATGAAAGCAAGAGAGAAATTTAGTCCAGATGTCACGCCCAGTTTGACGAGGAGGGTT